TCATTCTTAAAATAATACATTTTAGTGTCAGTGGTATGTATTTAAGAGTTATTAATTGTATTTACAAAGTAGAACTTGTTCTCTGTACTTTGTATAATCAGCATAATATTTAAAGCAGAGCCAAATACGTTGCCAGACTTCTGTGGCTTCCAGGCACCTGAGAATTCTTGTTGCTTAGTATGCAAGAATGGGAGAGGTGACCAAAGTTTTTAACTGTATAATAAAAAAAAGCAACTAGAAAAAAATGGAATTTTGTCAAGGCTTGGAAAATAGATGTAATATGGTGTGTGTCTTCAGTGTTTGAATGTTCCATTTTAGAAATCTTTTAAAAAAAATTGTCTAAGAATTGATTCTAGGATGGAACATGATGGTAGATAGAGGAAATCATTATAGCTGATTGTGACCAACTATTAGCATTTTGCTCCAAAAGCATTAATCAGGTTCTCAGAAGCCTGCTTCCACTAAATTTTGTATATTGTGGCTAGCTTTTAATAGTCCTTTCATTTGTAATTTTGTTGTATTTATTCCCCTTAGAAGAATTTTTTTAATTTATAGATCCAAGCAATGGGTATGCTGGGGTAGATGCTAAATTTTGTATCCAGTACTCTATACAGTAGGCTAAACAGATTATAGTTGTCCTGAATTTCTCAACGTTTCATTCATTGTTATTGTTCTTTTTACCAAAGGAAAGATTCATTGTGTCTTTCCATAGGGATGAAGAAAAAAAAATCAGACAAATCATTATATTTCTTTAATGTGCCTATTCTACTGTTGTATATGTAATCTTCAGTTCTTTAAAAAATGGATTAAAAATTGGTTTCATGAAGGATTGAGTTTCAGTGACAAAACTGTAAATGTTTTGCAAAAAGCCTTCAGTGCAGTCTACCTACTAAAGGAATGGGGTTGGGTCTTGCTGAGCCAATAGCATGAATGTACTGCAGGTTATTAGAACCGTTTGTTTTTCTTCTGTGAAATTGCATAAGGCATGATGCCAGATGAGAAGCATTAAAATTATTATAATTCTTTTTGAAGTTTTACCTTGAAACTTAAATTATGTTATGAGGTTAATTAGCTCAGGGCTTTTTAATGATGCATGTCCATAAAATCATATGTGTTTTACCATATGTCATAATGGTATTATCTAAGGTTAGAAATTTTGATTCCAGTTTCCTTGATTTTTAGACATAAGCTAATGTACAAATATCCACTTGCAATTGTTAGGATCTCTTGTTGCAAACACTACATGAACTGACAAGAAAAACATCCATATATATTTTAAAAACCCATTTTTCGTAAAGCACTACAGTTATGATGCAAATGGTGATGCAGATTCATTTTTCACTATATATATTGAGCAAAGAAAGTATACTTTTGTCCATTAAAATATTTGTATGGAATTAAAATATTTATCTCGAAAATTAAGTGATCTGAAATGTTTATTTTATAGACAAAAATGTTTTCATTGAAGATAAAGTTCTCTGTAGAAAAGACAGCAAGATGAGGCTATCCAGTTTTGACAATACTGGAATATACTTTAAAAAGTATTTAATAATCTTATAAATATCTTTTCAGTGTAATGCATTTTTATTCAGGGTTTACTACATTTGCTATTAGTATGCTTAGATTGCAGCTTTTGTTCTTTTAAATTCATAGGTAGTTTCACCAAATCTATCAACTACTTAGATGTTGCCAAAGTCTTTTAAAATACCTATACAAGAACTGAATGCTACTGCTGAATGCTGTTTTTCATTAGTAATCTAATGCCCTCATTCTAAAAAATTGGGTGCATGTCCTTTCTACCTTTTAGGATGCTGTCCATAGAGATCTGATTTACTTTGGTGAGTAATTCTTCACATACCTCTTAAAGGCTCAACATTTTTTTGCTTGGGGTGTTCATATGACTCACCACATTAATCCACACCCATTATCTCTTCCCCTCACAACAGAGTTGATACTTATGCAAAGGCAGATGAATGTTGACATTCTTCCAAAGTTACCAGCAAAAAATTCTGAGCTGTATTAACCTCAATACATCAAAATAGAGTTTGAATCTAAAGATGGTTAACTTTGCACAAATGCATTCATGAAATGAGTTTTAGGTTTCATGTGCCAAACTGTTTCTATGTCATTGGATTAGATTTCTTTATGAAGTCTAATAATGTATTAGCATCCGACAGAAGCTGAATTCTTTAAATTACACAAGCATAATTTTATTAATTCAAAGATTTTAACAATAATCTTTCATTATAAAATTTGTGCTGTTTCAAAGTATAGTTTGATTCCAATGAATAATGCAAGATTATACTACAGGGAGAGAAAGCTCAGAACAATATACAGGTAGTCCTTAACTTACAACTATTCATTTTGTGACAGTTCAAAGTTATAACGGCACTGAAAAAAGTGACTTATGACCATTTTTCACACTTATGATCTTTGCAACATCCCCATGGTCACATGAGCAGATGCTTGGCAATTGACTCATATTTATGACGGTTGCAATGTCCCAGGATCATTTGATCCCTTTTGCTACCTTCTGACAAGCAAAGTCAATGGGGAACCCAGATTCACTTAACAATTGTAGCATTACCCTCTCGGAGGCCACCAAAGCACAGACCCTCCTAACCCTCCCCCTTTAGTCCCACTCAACAGCTGCGCTCTCAAGCCATTGACAAAATGTCCAGTTTCAGCGGAATGAAGCGATGGCAAGTTCTCATTGTCAGGGGGGGGGGTTGCAGGAACAAAGGTGACTGACCCCTAACCACGGCAATAGTGCATAGCAGTATTTAACAGCCTAAGGCAGTTGTAGCAATAATAGTCAATAGTCCGTAGCAGTTGTTTAAGAAAACAAGAGGGTATGTGGAAAGAATTTCCCGACTCCAAGCAGCAGCAGAAACCACAAGCGGAGATAATCAACATCCCGCAGTCACAGCATGCATAGGTGTAGTGATCAATGTTTGGATGGCCGCTGGTCTCCGAAGCAGTAGCGGCTCACCTCTTCTTCTCTTCTGTCGGGACCCGTCGTCCCAGGTCTCTATGTCAAATCCTCCCCTTTCCTTTCTAATTAACCCTGGTTCAGCACCCCAGGCAACTTCCTTACTCTCACTCTCTCTCTTCCCTTTGCTCGGGATATCCCCTTGCAAAAGAAAGCAATAAACCCCCCTCCCTCCTTCTCTCTCTCTCTCTCTCTCTCTCTCTCTCTCTCTCTCTCTCTCTCTCTCTCTCTCTCTCTCTCTCTCTCTCTCTCTCTCTCTCTTCCTCTCCTTCCCACTACCCCAAAGGAGAGGAATCATCTAAAACTCTAATTCTCTTCAGCTTCACCTGGTCTCTCCCCAACAGCAACTGCCACCACCCCCTTTCTCCTTCTCCTTTTCTTCCTTTCCCCCAGTCTACACCTGCCAGGCCCAAATCCAAAGCTGTCTGAGCTTTCCACTCCCCTCTCGCCAGCCAGGCTCCCGCAAAGCCTTTCGTTCAGTCCGCTATGCAATCATGTTACTAACTTAACAAGAGCAGGGATTCACTTAACATGAATACAAATTCTTGGCAAGAATAAAAATCTGTAACACTAACTTCATTATACTTTTATTTTAGTACTCTGTTACACTGATTTCACCAAGTTCCATTTGAATGTTATTTTTCATTCTGTCAACTTCAGAAGAAATTGCAGCCCTGAATAATAAAATATTGTTTTCACACATTTTGATTCTTTCAAATCACTTTTCAAATTCAGATAGTAATGTCTGGATATATTTGAAACATACTTGCTGAAATTATAACTACCAAGGGTGATGCTTGATAATTTTTACATGAGGGAAAATATCAGATCACAATTTTATTTTCCCTTTCCATATACCAAATGCTTAAATGTTGCAACCTGATTTTGACCCAGAGGTTTTAAATTTAAGTTATGTAAATGCCCCTCAATACCTATTGTACAATGAAATCCAAATCCTGAAACCAATTCTTAGTAGTAAATTCTGGTGAAATATCTTTCATTGCTAAAATGTTTTGATTTCATGTGACGTTGCCAAAATTCCTACAAGACTTTATGATTTCTGTATAATATAATAAACTTTCTTGCTCACTTTCAGTTTCAAAGAGTAATGAAAACTGCCATTGATTCAATTGAGTGTGTATAAAATTTACTCTTTTCTTGTCAAACTTCGGCATATGTTCCATTTTCATTACTTTTGAGTACAACATTTCCTGGTGTGTAATGAAATGAACATGATAAAAGTTACTATTGAGAGCATTTTTTTTTCTGGCTGGCCAATATTATCTAGCCAATAGTTTTAAATCCATTTGTCTTTTTCCTTCCTTCCTTCCTTCCTTCCTTCCTTCCTTCCTTCCTTCCTTCCTTCCTTCCTTCCTTCCTTCCTTCCTTCCTTCCTTCCTTCCTTCCTTCTTTCCTCCCTCCCTCCCTTCCCCTCAGTTGTGATAATAAGTTGAGGACTATCTGTATTTTGGAGGCAGGGGGAATTTAAACCCTTTTGGAAGGACAAGAGAAATTCAACCTTTTTTTCCTTTTAAAAAAAGTTCATATTATTTGCTGTTATTTCTCTCCTAAGCATTTCCCTTACTAACATGTATTCTGAACCAAGAATTCATAAAACTTTATGCTGGAGCACTGGATTTTTTCAGTTTGCTCCAGCCCCTTTGAATTAAGAGAAAAATTCCTATATTCTTACTGGCTAAGTGCCACATATATTTCAGTAGCATAGCCTATATTCCATGACATTTACAATTTAGGAAATTGTTCTGGTTCACTGGATCTGAAAAAAATGCTATTTTAAAAAATGCAATAATTAAATCAATGTGAACATTTCAAAAGTGTTTTATACATACAAATGCTATTTATAAGCAATGGGAAATGTTTTAATGTGTTCAGGACTCAACCTTTAAAGTATTTGGCTAGCATCCCAGTTCTTGCTCCTAAACCTATATTCAAGTAGCCAAAATAGTGCTCTTATTTGTGGAAGACATTTAAGTATCTAGAGTAACGTGTTCAGACAGTGAGACTGGGCATCTTGCCTTAAAGGATTAAACAAGGTGTTTATAAAAGAAATCGAGAGAATATGCATTGTTCTGTCAATTCACCTTTCAGATGATCTTCTCAATTGTTTGTTTAGAGCAAGCTCTAACTTTCTGGCTGTTATAGACATTTATTAATAATACTTGGCTTTATTCACAAGAAGTGCATTGCTCATATTTTTCATAATTAAGTAAATGCTCACTAAATGTTGGGGAAGAAAATGCTTAAATCAAGTGTGGGCATTCCACTCAGAGAAATTTTTAATTATACTTTTTCTAAAAATAGCTATACATTATATGTGCAAATGTTGTCTTTAATGAGAAATCAGTTAGAATCAATACCCAATAAGACATCCCAAAGTTGGAAAGAACCATTTAGGCGATTGAATACAAATCCTGGTTCCAGATTAACTTTCCTGTCTAGAATCTGTTTGAATACATGCATCAAAGGAAAGTGTATGACATCTAGGCCATCAACCTCAGGTGTCCTACAAGGTTCCATTTTGCTCAGAAGCTGCTCAACATCTAATCCAGAATGTTGGTACAGGTTGCCATCAAAATCTAGAAAAGATGGAAATGCTTTTAATGAAACAGATTGAAATTGGAACTGGATTTGCTCCCAATTGAAAGAACAGATTTGCAGTACTTGATTTTCACCTGTCACTGAATTTATAGGTGGTAACTGATGAGAAATACTTTTACATAATTACACCTTGTTTGCAACCATGAATTTCTGAGACAGATTGATTTGATGATGGTTATGCATATAGCTTGGTTACATCCTATTTTTTTTTTATTGAGAATTTTTAAAGTTTTACAATAAAATACTCCCCCCTCCCACCCCCCCATCACCCTCCCCCCTCCTTCCCAGAACTGAATACAGGGTTAAAAACAACAAAAAACATACAACTTAAATGAACATCAAGCAATTATACATACATCCAAAAAACAAAATTTTAAATACTTTAACTCCAGTACATAAAAGCAGAGATTCTAACCATTACCCTTAAACATAGATTATTCAAAAGCTAAGTAATACTTTCTAATCTCATATTTATTCTGTATAAAATTCACCCATCTTTTCCACACCAAAATATATTTCTCTTGCGATTGATCTTTCAGATAAGCCGAAATTTTTGCCATTTCAGATAAATAAGAAACATAAAGAAACCATTCTTCTAAAGTAGGCAAAGAGTCCTTCTTCCAATATTGCCCAATCAGCAACCTTGCCGCTGTAATTAAATTCAACATTAGAATAATTTCTTTATCATCCCAATCAACAATAATACCTAACAAAAACAATTGTGGTGTAAATTTTATCCTTCTATTAAAAATCTTCTGAATGTTCCACCAAATCTTAATCCAAAAAGCCTTTATATTTCTACATGATCACCAAATATGATAGTACGTTGCATCCAAACAACCACATCTCCAACATTTAGGCTGCACATTTGGATACATACGAGACATCTTTTGTGGATCAAATTGCCACCTATAAAACATTTTATAAAAATTTTCTCGTAGATTTTGAGCTTGAGTAAATTTGACATTCCTCACCCAGATTATCTCCCATGTATCTAATAAAATCGGCTCATCAAAATTTTGAGCCCATTTAACCATACAATCTTTAACTAATTCTGTTTCTGAATCCAGTTCCACTAAAACACTATAAACTCTTTTTATATGAGTTCGACTTTGATCTTTAATTTGTTTCATCAAATTCACATCCTCCCTAATAAAACCCGCTTTTTGATCTATTCTCCACCTTTCTAATAATTGCCTATACTGGAACCAAGAATAATTAATATTTTCTTGCGCTAATTCGTCCATAGATTTTTATTGCCAATTATTCCCATTCCAATTAAGCAATTGTTTATAAGAAATACTATCCATTTTCACTCCTTTCCTTATCCCTTCTATTGCGTGCCCTGGAATTCCCCACAACGGTATTCTAGAATCTGATCTATAATATTTCTTCCAAACACGCAATAAAGAAATTCTTAAGATATAGGACTTAAAAACCCTATCCACCTTTTTATTATAAATTAAATACGCATGCCATCCATATAATAAATCTCATCCCTCCCAAAAAAGTATATTTAAATTTGTTAAATTAATCCAGTCACTAATCAATGTTAAAACCACCACATCATAATACAATTTCAGATTCGGCACCTTGAGTCCACCTCTCTCTCGAACATCTTGTATAATTTTTCATATAAAGTAAATTAGTTGCAGCCTAATCAGCCATTAACATATTAAACTGTGTTTTAAGCAAATTTATAGAAGCTTTTACATTCTTATCCAAAGGATTCAAAATTAATGCTTTTTCTTTTATTTAAACTCATCTTCCAATTCCTTACGCTTTGCATCTGTTTTTGCCTATAAGCCTTGTTCATTTGAATCAGAACCCCACGCATATAAGCCTTACTAGCATCCCAAACCATTGCTATTGAGGTTCCCTTATACATATTTAAAGTAAAATATTCCTTTAAATACTCTTTAAGTTTCTGAACATTCGCCTCTTGTCTAAATCAGTGGTTCTCAACCTGTGGTCGGGACCCCATTTGGGGTCGAACAACCATTTCACGGGGGTCGCCAAACAAGGCTGTCCGCCATTTTTTCCTTTTTTTCTTTGGCCACGCCCCTGGCACCAGGTGTTGTATAAGTGGTTGGGGGTCACCACAACATGGGGAACTGTATTATTGGGTCGCGGCATTAGAAAGGTTGAGAACCACTGGTCTAAATAAATTTTCATTCAACCTCCAAGATCTTCTCTCCTCTTTCTCAGCAACCAATTCCATCCATACAGGACTATGATCTGTCAATGTCCTTGGAAAAATCTTTACATTTTTTACCCTAAAATATAAATCCGTTGTAATCAGAAAAAAGTCAATTCTTGAAAACGATTGATGTCTGTCAGAAAAAAAAGTGAAGTCTCTCTCTTCCGTATTACGTTCCCGCCAGAAATCTCTCAATTCCAAATCCTCTTTCAAGTCAAAAAAAGCCTTAGGTAGTTTGGCTTGCTTAAAAGAAGTAGAAAGTAATTCTTATCTCTATTTGTATCCAAAACTCCATTCCAATCCCCCATCAGAATAACAGATCTATAATCCAATGAAATCAATTTTTGGTATAAAAACCTATAGAACTGTTCTTGTTGTTGATTAGGAGCATACAAACCCACTATAAGCAATTTCTTACCATACATTCCCACTTCAATCATAACATATCTCCCTTGAGGATCAGAATCTATTAATACAGCTGATAAATTTTTCTTAACATAAATAACAACACCCCCTTTTTTCCCAGAAGCAGAAGATACAAAATGAGAACCCAATCGAGCATTAATCAAATATTTTTGATCCTTTGAAATAATATGGGTTTCCTGCAAACAAACAATGTCGTTATTATATTGCTTCAAATAATGAAATATTTTCTTCCTTTTCTATGGAGAATTAAGGTCATTAACATTCCAGGTCAGCAGCTTTGCCATCTCCTCCATCTATTAGCCTAGAGAAGACTGCTTGAAGATCTACCATCGAAGATTGAACCAACGAAGATCTCTTAGGTCTTGCTCCTCCCACAGGCTCAGAAGCAAATTCTTGTGTAACTTCTTTAATTTCCTTCTTATGTTGCTCCTTTTCTTTTCGTCTATGCGCTGCTCGGGTCATTCTCTGTTCTTTCATCTCAGACTGCTGTAACAACTCAGCCTGTAATTTTCCAACTTTCATTGATACAGCATCTTCAACCAACTGCTCTCCCTCCTTCACTTCCAAAGCTTTAAACATTATAGATGGTGATGAGCGCGCTCCCAGGACCGAAATAGAAAACTCTCTTGCCTTAGAGACAGTATTAAGTCTATAACGTGTCCCCGCGTGACTCACCACAATTCCAATTGGAATATCCCATCTGACTGGCATCTGTCGCTTTTTAAGTTCATCTGATAAAAAAGCAAAATCCTTTCTTCTTAAAATTTTAGATGGAATCTCCTTTAAAATTATAACATCCTGAGCAGCAATCTGGAATCTCTTATTGTAAAATGCTTGTATAATTTCATTGCGTAAAGATCTTTTTCCAAAATAAATCACCACATCTCTTGGCAAAATAGGTTACATCCTATTTTGATTAGTGCTCTTGGAAAATATCCAGAAATTACTGGTGATATAAAATATAGAGGCTAAGATGTACCAGTTGTTTACCAAGAAGAATTTAAGGCTGATACAAATAATTATGCCAGCTGTTATGAGAATCCAGGTGACCCTGGCTGCTCTTAAAAAAAACAAAACCCTAAACAGAGTGCATTCTATTAGTATCTGGGAAAAGACAACCAGGAAATATCAGTACTGTAGACTAGAGTGGAAAACAATTGAGAAGCTAATAGAAAAATAATCTATATTATTGCCCAAAAAACTATAGAGATGTACTTATGCAATAATAATAAGTAAAACAAATTAGATGAAATCTTTGAATTCTTATTTTAAGAATATACCATCTTTCCTCTTATTATCCGTTCTGACTATTAAAATCTGCAGGAGATGCCCATCTTTCTGGCATGCAGGCATTCTCCAGAATTGCTGGTGTTTTTCAAAAGGCAACTGGACTTTCTTAGTTTTTTTTCCTTGAAAAGGTCTCATTTCTTATCCAAGAAGTTTCTTCAATTCTGACTCTTCTTGGATGAGAAGCGAAACATTGTCAAGGAAAAAAAACTTAAAAAAATCCAGTTGCGTTTTGAAAAGCACCTTAGGGATAACCATGACGTAGCTGATTGAGAATCTCCATAGACCTTGCTGGTGTTGCATTTGAACCCATTCTCTTGGTGTTTGGAAAATCTTTTTCTCTAAACTTAAGATTTTTCATTAATTTTTATATGCAATTAAATTTGTTTTTAACATTTCTGTTTTATGTAACTCCTTCCAGTTTTTTACAGTTTCAAGTCCTTAACAGGAAAAAAAAAGGGGGGGGGGAAGTATGGTATGAGATAAAAGCATAAACAAATAACCAGCAAGCTGTCTTTTTAAAGACTTAATATAAATACAGTACTTGCTTCAGTGTCTCTTTGTAGGGCATATTTTTTACACCTTTATTATATCCTAAAAAAGTTGAAAATATATGTCCAATGGTTACACAGCATAAACATTTGGATAAATTATACTGTCCTGTTTATAAATATATTACCTGTGAGATAAAAAAGCACATATTCATCTACATCCCTTTATCAAACAAGAGCCCAACTATGGAGATTTCTAGTTATTGTACAGCTAGCTTACTGCAATATGAGTTTTATATCATGATTGTATCCTTTTGTATTTGTATTTTTTGTATTTAATTTTATTTATATGCCGCCCAATCCCAAAGGACTCAGGGCAGCATACAGAGATTAAAACAATCATAAAACAATAAAATAATACAGTCATACCGCGAGTCCGATCATCATCCTTGATCTGTCTTTCCTCTATCTTGTAATAGAGGAATAAATATCTCTTCTGTTCTCCACCTGAGCCTGAAGCACTTAGAGGAAAGAAATACTCATGTGTGTTTGCTGTTTGTTGACTTCAGTTCGG